AGAAACGGGCCCCTGGTGAGAAAACTGTCCTCTTGGCGTCAGTACGCTGGGGAATATGATGAGAGTTCTAAGGTAGTGCTTTCCAAGGTCTACACCGAAAGGGCCACAGGCAATATACTTAGTTATTTGAAGCTGGTTTGAGGGGTCGTCATATTTGACTTATTTCGGGCCGCAGAAACCCGATCAGTCTTCAAAGGGGCGGATGCATCAGGCAAATTTTTGTTTTTAAGTATGCACTTTTTACTCCAAAAATTTCCAGCTGAGCAAACTTCAGAAGTGCCTTCCTGTTGATCAAGTAATTTTTTATCTCACTTTAAGAGAGTCTATTCCAACAGAAGCCAACCAAACTATTTAATTTTTGCGTAGCAATCAAGCTGTGAAGACAAGGAATGACAAACACAACAACGATAAAAAAAAAATAGAATAAAATATGAGCGATAATTATCATGGCGAGGCAACACTTTCCTAAGGAATTACAATTGACATGTAAACATAAACTTTCCCGCCAACAGAAAGGTGTTCAATTTCAATGTGATTGACACTGTGGTTATCAAATATTTAGTTGTTTGCCAGTACATACGCGATAATAATATTTCAAAATTTGTTGCAGACAAAATTTGTTGAGATTTTTGGCAGAGCAGAACAAGTTTTGTCAACCTAGAGTGAAGGATACCTAACCCTTTGGGCAAACAAACATTAGAATAATTGTTTTTTTATATCTTAAAAATTGGAAACAAACAGTTTTAAGTACTGTGACTAAAATTCCAGTTTCTTACAAACTTCTTTTTCTTTCATTAGTCTAGCTTAGTGTTTAGCTTTAGAACATTGTGTAATAAAAAAGAGAGCGATAATTCTGCTGTCGATGTACTATAACTATATATACATGTAAAACCATACTATTCTATCACAGGTACAGTCATTTATTGGAAGTTACTGGTTTAAAAATAATTTCTAATTTTTAACAGTTTTAGATTAGATGGAGGAGTTAGGTTGACAGAAGAAAAGAAGGATTTGGAGAGCTAAATGATATTTTAAATATCTCATTCAAAAATATGTTTTAAGAACTTGAAAACACTTCTTGTTCTTCTCGTTCTGGTTTATATTTATTTACTTTTAAGATCTGATAACGATGCCAGTCAGCAGAAATTGTAGAAATGATATCAATACAGTATGGTAAATATCTTGAATTGTGTCATGGAAATTTTCTTCTTTTCAATGAGATAGAATTACCAATTCCACCCCTCCCCTTAACCATAGGAGTGTTCCTACTTTAGTTTACCTTATGTTGTTCTTTCAAACAAGTAGTTTACATTCTATTGCCCGTGTGAACTTAAAATACTTATTATCACAATTATAATTTTATTTAGCTTGTTTCAGATTCAAGAAGTAAAATGAAGCACAGCAGTATGAACGCAACCTGACCAAAATCTCCCACGTTTTTTGTTTTGGTTTTTTGCTCTGCTGCTACTATCGTACCATACACTATTTTGCATTAGTTGTACCGTTTTCCTTGCTCAACTCCTGGAGCAGGTTATTTATTTATTTATTCTACAAAGTGCTTGCAATGGCAAACTTGAGGATGCTTGGATTGTTAACAAAAGCATGAATTGTTTTTTCGCATCTTTGGTAGTGAAGTCGAACCAAAAATCGATCATGATTTTGAAAATGCTCCTCTCTCTAAAAGCACTTAGCCTATGAGGCTCTTGACATAGGGTTTCTCTTAAATTGATCAACGGAGGCTCTGTTCCTCAGAAAGTTCTTAGATGAACATCATTCTGGAACCAATTGAGCAAAATTACGAATGTCTTAGATTCAAATTGGGTGTTTCGCTTTTTCGCGAGATGAAATCCTCTCACGTGCAGCCGTTAGAGCACTGTTGCACTCGTCTTCTGGCTCAAAATTTAGGATTTTCACCAGAAATTCTGCATGAGCGACGTTTTTATGTCTGGTAACAAGTGAAGTTGGCCTTCAAAAATTGCTCACTGTAGTTAACAGAGGATTTAAAATAGCTCTCCTGGTAACGACATAGTTGGTGTTATTTTTCTTGCTGCAGTAATGCCATTGTTTTTCAGCGTGCATTGTGTAAGTTAAAGTACTTTGCTTTTAGTCAGCATTCTAACCATGGGTGGATGACTTGCTGAAATTTTCCATTACAAAAGTGGTATATTTCTGTCCAAGGCATTCCATGAATTGATACTAAATTAACCCACAGACGATTAACCCGTCCGTGTTTCATTATCATGCACCATCTATACTTTTACAAGAGGTTATGATTTATAACCAGGGGGAATGTATGAGCCATAAAATAAACAGAGATTAAGATTTTGATTTGATTTACATTTTTAGACAAACCCGAAGGTGCGAGACTCATTACCTATGCTTCACAAAATACTGTCACTGAAGGAGACACAGTTACATTCAAGTGCATAGTTATGGCTGCTGTGCCACAAGTGTCAATTTACAAGTTCTATTTCAATGGCCGCCTCTTAAGTGGGAAAAGCAACATTGAGTATACTCTCAATAACGTCAATCGATCTCAGCACTATGGCGAGTACAAATGTGTCCCACATAATGACGCTGGAGATGGAGCAGAAGCCACTGCGAGACTTAACATAAATGGTGGGTAGAAACATCTTTAAGAATTTTTGAGTACTTTGGAATTATAATCCAAAACGGGAAAAAGTTTTTTACCAGTTTACATTGCGTCAATGAAACTTCCAACAGAGTGAATTATTACAACCTCAAACAGGGAAGAATAGAGACCCTGGTATTCGGGTTGCCCCCTTCAGGCTTTTTCTGAGAGTAATGGGAATGAGCGTGGAGTGTGAGGTCGTCGCTACCTTTCCCAAGGTAGTTGGGAAAAGTGCTGGTGGAGAAAGCCTGTCTTGGAAAATTGAACCAGATATGGGCACTTGGGTGCAGTGGGTGCCTAATAGCAAAAGTTGTGTCTGATGATAATGAACTAGTGCCTAATAATGGTGGACAGGTGCCTAATAATGATGAACTGGTCACTAACAATGATAAACAGGTACCTAATGATAAAAACAAATGCCTAATTATAATGAACTTGTGCAAAATAATGATCCATAAGTGCATTATAGAAACAAAACAATGATTTGGTGGAAATGGCACCCTGTGGTTACTCTAGATTGTTGTCAGGCACGAGAAGTCTGTAAGTTTGTGTAGCTTTCTGGGAGCCTTAACAAGGTGGTACATTTAATTGTGTAGCAAAATACCTGGAATTTAGGTACAAGTTTGAGATTAATCCCAGGTCTGATTTTATTTTTTTTGGTTTAAAAAAAAAATCAAGACATTATTCCAAAGCAATTATCCTGTGTCCGCCAAAGACTGTGACTTATGCTTTTCATTAGAGTATTTTAAAACTGATGTAATTTCTGATTAGCTGACGTAGTGGAAGGTTTTTTTAAGATTTTTTTTTGTATGTGCTATATTTTATAATCTTATTTATAGTTATGAAGAGGATGATTTTGAACCAAATCGCACTCTAATGTTATGGTGTGAATATTTTGTTGTTCCTCTCTTCTTACCTAGTTCCTGTCCAGTTTACAGAAGTGCCACAGAATATAACAGTTAATAGGTCAACTCTGCTGTTTTTGAGTTGTGATGCCTCTGGTTTTCCTGAACCTACGATAAGATGGGAAAAATCTGGGATTAATTTGTCCCACAGCAAACAGTTGAACATCACCAGTAGTAACAAGAACGATGCAAGAGAATATGTTTGCATCGCAAGCAATGGAGTAAGACAGAAAAAGACAGTAAGAGCTTATGTCACTGTGCAATGTAAGTCTTATTTCCAGTATGTCATAAAAAGCTGCCTCTGCTGCTGAATCCATGATATAGTCGAATTTATAGGTGTTCCTACGCCAACACTCTCTTGGTACAAACCTAACGGAAGTGAAATAAACAGAGTCAGAGCCAGAGAAAACAAAGTACAAGTACCACTAAGGGGTGATCAAGATTTTGGTCATTACAAGTGCATTGCTGCCAATGGACTTATTCCATCTGATGAGGAGTTAATAAAGATAAATCGGATAAGTAAGTAAAAAATATCATTGTATTTTGATAAGAAGAAAACTATACAGAAGGTCCGCATTCTCTTTTGTCTTTGCTCATTATCACTGTTTCAGGTGTATTAGAAGTAAAATCCAAATTTTCTTACAAAGTAATCGACATGGTAACTCATTCTGTTTGTACAACGCATTCGATAATTGAAATTATAATACTTGCGGATAATTTGCAAGGCCCTCAGGTGTGTGGAAGCTTATGTTAAACCATCAAATAAGAGATTACTTATTCTACTATTTTATCGTTTTCTAACAATTTGGCTGCTTAGATTTCCACATACAGCCTATGTGGCCTTATCTGAGCGTTCCATTCGTATTTTTCACCTCTTTAGAAGCGTTAGACCTTCACATATTTTTCGCGTTCGTTCGTTTTTCGCAATGTGGCATGAAGGGTTAATAGTGGAATTATGCCAGATACAGTCAGCCTGATCTTTTAGTGGAAAATGCATCCATATTTTTAAAAAAAGGATTTACAGTAAACTATCGACGCCTTGCCCTTTGGTAGCATTAAACACGTCACAAAAGAGTGTTGAACTTCAGGCAGATTGATGACATCCTCCCATGAAAGTATTCATAAGAAACTTCCTCAACCATGGACTCTTAATTTTTCCCTATTTTTATTGGGGTCTTGGCTGAATTTATCTGGTAGCTGCATATACATTCATTAAATTGTGATAATACAAGGACTTGCATTCATCCTACGTATTGTGACAAATCTCACTGTGTGTAATCACCCAAAAAAATTTCTCCTTCCTTTTTTTTTTGCTCAAAATGATCCTTTTTTTATGGCACTATGAAGAGAAACCAGGGAAAGCATCCATCAAATCACCAGAATCAGTAATTCAAGCAACTTTTGTAATAATAAGATGGACTGCACCAGCTGATGATGGAGGAAGTCCAATTATAGGATACCGAATGATCTTACAAAAGGGTGAAACTGAGATAGAAAAGGATAATATCACCGATCCTGGGACGACAAGTTATTCGTTTCGTGGTTTGGAGAAAAATACCAACTACACGGTGAAACTGTTTTCCAGAAATTTTGTATTCGAGGGAGATCCTGCTGTGAGGACAATTAAGACCAAGTTTGAAGGTGAGAAATCACAAGTGATTTCGTGACTAAGCACTTTGCACCAATCATTTTGTTGCAAACTTAGATTTGTCCCAGTTTTAACAATGTTATCTGCTCACCACATTATAAGATTTTTTGTTTAAAGTGTTTTTCTACTCCTTGGTGGCCAGTTTCCTTTCCCTTTTTAATAGTTATTTGAGAGGTTCCTACGGTTGTAGAAGCATAATAATAAATAAACCACAAGGGAACATAGGTGAGAACAATGGAAAACCTACGCGGCTACATTCCGTAAATGCTACCTGTTTTATCAAGTATTGTTTGCCTTTTTTTTTCTTTTCATTTTTTGATGTTCATGTTTCATAACCTGTTTGTGTAAATAAACAACAAAAACGGTCGCTAGATAGTTGGTTGGATATTGTTTTCCTAAACTCTTACCGGCTATATTCAGAACACCCAATAACCAACTACCCCTTTTGAGAGTGAGACGATTTTCACACATTGGTTGACCAAAGAACTGAAGTTTGAGGTAATGGGCCTTTCATGAAAATCTCTTTAATATGCCAATATTATGGGGAAATCTCGTCAAACAGTTTGTGGACGGCCCCGAAGAGTCCTCCGTTTATTTTCTTTATGATGAGAAAAGTACGAGCGCAAAAAAATAGAGTTTGAGTGAAAGAAGTCAAGCTATAAGCTGTAACCTGATAAAATACGAAAAATTACGAGGCATGAAGAAAGTTTGAGATAGGTATTTAAAAAGCTAAACCTCTTGCTTATAATTAAGGTGGATGGATGTCGTTTTCTTAAATACCTGCCCGCTATACTCAAAGCACTTAAAAAGAATCAAACCTCCATGGGTCCCATAGCTATCAGGATTTGCCACTAATTTATCGACATTTTTTGCACACTTCTGGACACTTTTTTCGTGAAACCTTCCATTGTTTTACACATATGGTACTTCTTGTGTTAACGCTAGGTTTGTGTGTAACGATTTTCTTTCAAAACTATGTCACAGACTTTAAAATCAGTAGTTCTAGAGCCAATGCCAGTTGGTAATAACGTTAGTAAAATTATACTCCCCAGTATAACTTATATCGTCTATCGAGGGAAAATGGCGGCACTTTAAAATTCCCATAGCTTGTTTTAATTTCGAAGGGATAAGCCCAAACCAAAACGATTAAGGTTGCCGTTATCATTTTTTGTCCTTTCAAGTTACTTTGAATTCATATAAATATTTAACTTAATTTTGCTAGTTATACACTTTTTTTTTAAAAATATCCCAGAAAAATCCTCTACCAATTTACAGGTTATTTTATCACTGATAATGTTTGTGATCAGGTTTGTAACAAGAAGTTGTATAATTATAAGAAATTTCACGCTGTTCGTGTTGTTGACATCAATCTAGGAGCCCCAGATGTGGTCGAAATCGACGAACTGCCACGTGAAACAACAGACGATACAATTACCTTAAAGTGGAAGGAGCCAGAAAATAATGGAAAAGTTATTATCATGTATACAGTGTACCAAAGAGTAGTGACTGATGGAAAAGTGGACAGAAATAAGGAGAATCAGAGATGTTTCTGTGAGAGAATTGAAAATAACGTTGGAGGGAGGAAAGGTATATCAGTTTGCCATTACTGCAACTAATGAGCTTGGTGAAAGCCGAAAACAAGAGAGAGCAAACATACAGCAAGTCAAGGCAGAAAGAAGTATGTTCAAATGAATCTTGTTTTCCCTTTTCAAAGGTTTATCCTTTTCTTTTCTTAGTTTTCAAGCACTCTCTATGTCATAAACATCGAGGTATTTACGGGTGGATTCTTAGCTTGCGAAAACCTGAATGAATGAGAAAAATTTCACTTACGTCGCAGTTGATATTTGTGTGCCAACTAGAGGCATATTGGCTGATGTACAAGAAGTTGTTTTGCAGTGTATTTTGTTACTACATTTCAGTTAACAAGTTGATAAAATAATTATAATGATTGAACGGCAGCAATTATACTCACAGCCGATGGCTGTGTGAATAATATCAAATTCAGAAATTACATTCCTATACAGGACTTATTTATAATGACAGGGAAGCGACCTTTGACATACAAACGCATTGCAAAGATACAGAGTCATCCACCAGGCGTAAATAGGGGGCTGGACTCTGAGGTCGCTACGTTGATCACTTTATCAGCGCTACTTTTTCCACCAGAGAGCAACTCAATTATTTGTTAACCATTGTCAGTTACTTTCATTCAGCTTTAAAATAGAGTTTTTATCCCCACAGATGGCTCGGAAAGCGCAGCAAAAGGTAGGAATAACAAAGAAATTGTGGAATACACTAAAGTTCTCTAAACAACCAGACATGGTTTAGTGCTACTCTGGTTTAAAGATTTAATGAATGAAGTTACAACTAGCAATACTCCTCATGAGAAGGAACCAGCGTCTGGTTTTGCTGTTATTCCTTACATTTAGGGTGTTACGGAACCTATCAAGAGAATTTTGAATAGCCACAACGTTTACGTTGCTCAAAAACCTTTTCAGACCTTAGGGCATGTTTTTGCCAAACCTAAGGATCCTATCACAAATGAACAACTAACCGACGTTTTCATTCTATTCCGTGCAATGGCTGTGATCACGAGTATATCGGACAGACCAAACTTTAGTTTGGTAGACGTTTGAAAGAGCATCAAAGAGCTTTCAAAATTCAGCTTTGTCGGAGCACACATGCCAAACTAACCACATAATTGTGTGGGATAACTCTAAAACTATCTTCACTTACCACCACGAGCGCCTTTGTTTGGAAGCCTGGCATATCAACTCTGCCCACGCTCCTTTAAGTCGTGATGGTGGCGGCTTACTGCCTGACGCATATTTGCACCTCGTCAGAAAAAAGGGCAGCTAATTATTTTGCGTGTTAAAGGACCTCTCTGTGCAACAATTAGATCACCCCTGATGAAGGCACTAGACAGGAGTGTTGAAACGTTGGGTCTGTGAATTGTAACTTCTCGGTTACTTTCAGTCCATTTTACAGTTGCGTGCTTGGCTGCCAGGCCTTTGAACAGGAGTGAGGCTGAAGGTGACCTTGTTATGATACAAACCTTGCTGCTTTTCAAATGTAAATGACTTTTTCATGCAAACTAGATACTGGTCTCCATCATTACATGATCAACTTCAGCCTCACTCCAAATCAAAGGCTTGGCAGCTAAGTACGCAACTGTAAAATGGCCAATTCATTAAATCTTTAAACCAGAGTATCGTCAAACCATGTCAAATTGTTAAATGTTTACACGTATTCTTCCGAAAACGGACTTTTTCCAATTGTAGATAGATAGATAGACTGTGTTTTATTAAAATTACATTGCAGATAAAAACTGAATTGCGTAACTTCACATTAATCAATTGTACAAACTGTTTCTGCAACACATATTTATGAAACTTGTTGCCGCTCTGTCGGTCTTACAACGATTAAGATTGAAATTCCTCTGTTTCCTTAAATTGTAATTAGCCTGATAACTTTTTGGGATTAAAGAATGAATTTTGTTGTTTTTGTTTTCTAAAACTGATCGGAAAAGTGTCGATGTCAACTGTTCTTGGTGGGTTCTCAAGCTTGGGATGTTTGCTTGATCGAGGGCTTCTTTATATGATGCTCCAGGGAAGTGCATGCGAGGGCTCTTTTCTGCACTCTCTCCAGATCGACTTGTAGATATTTCGGAAGTGCATGGTGGAACACTGGGCAGGCGTAGTCTAGGCAGGACCTGATGGTTGCGCAATAGATTGCTACAAGATCGATTGTAGGTACTTTAGCCCGCTTAAGTTGAATCAAAAAATAGTGTTTTGAGTTGGATTTCTTTATTATTTCTGTAATATGGTTGTTCCAAGTTAGAGTTGAATTAATATTGAGTCCAAGAAGTTTAACACACTGCACAGATTCAATTAGTTCCTCGTCCACGTTGGTTTTTGGAAATTGGGGGTATTGAGGGCTAAAGCTGATCAACAGTTCTTTGGTTTTTGCGCAATTCAATTGAAATAGATTTTCCTCAGACCAGGACTGTACTTGGTCAACTGCACTTTGCGCGTGACTAATCTTTCCTTTCGGGACGGTTTCTGATACCGTCGTATCGTCAACGTATTTCCACAGATTAAAAATGTCGGGCGAAACTGACAAATCGTTTATCATTAAAAGGAAAAGCCAGGGGCCCAGTTTGGTCCCCTGTGGTACTCCGGCAGGCACTTTGCTCCACTCAGAGAAACAGTCATTGCCAAGTTTAACTCTCTGAGACCTATTTGAAAGGAAGTCAACTATCCAGTTAATGTCCAGTTGATTCAGTTTTGATATTAGGATGGACTGATCTATTAGGTCAAAGGCCTTTCGGTAATCAAAAAGAAGGACCCGAACTGACGCTCCGTTTCCGTCTGTTGCTTCAAGCCAATTGTGTATCATGCTTATGAGTGCCAGTACAGTGGATGATCCAGATACCGTTCCGAACTGATTTGGGTCCGCTTCTTTTTCCACGGCCGGTTTGATGAAGTCAGAAACTATAAAATCCTCAGCAAGTTTTGATAACGCAGGTGTAAGTGAAACTGGCCTTAGCTCCTTCTTGGGATCAGTCACTTGTTTTACCTTTGGGAGGGGTGTTATATTCGCCAATTTCCAAACTGACGGCAATTTTTGTTCTTTGTAGGAAGTGTTCAAAATGTCCGTTATGGGCTGTGCTAAAATTTCGGCGTATTCCTTTAGAACCCAATTAGGTATGCCGTCCGGGCCAGGAGCTTTGTGTTTGTTGAGGCGTTTCAGATTAATGTACACTCGATGTGTTGATATTTTAGGGAATTCGGCGCCTTCTCCTGTAGGAAGGAGAATAGACGTGTTCTCACAGTTGATAGGCTGATAAGACTGGAGCGGTTCTAGAAGAGCTTCATTTATTGCACTGGCGATTTCTTGGGGGGACATGTTGGTGAATTGCTGTACGTCGAGGGAGGACAGTAAATTGGGGTTTTGTTTTTTGGATCCACTCAGTTTATTTATCTCTTTCCACCACTGACGGGGATTCATACCTTTGAGATCTTGCACTTTTGAAGTATAGTAGGCTGCTTTGCATAGTTTCCTTTCTCTATTGACAGCATTGCGGTAAAATCTGAAAACTGGACCCTTCTTGTTGGAATGAAATGCATTTTGACGCAAACGAATCAACTCCTTGAGTTTTATTGTCATCCAAGGGGCGTCCTTCGGGTAAACTTTAATCGACCTTTCTGGCATGATGTTATTTATGCCGTTTGTTATCAGTTCGTTTAAAAAATGCGGAGTTTTCCCTCACAGGAGCTTTGCATATTGATGCATGACCAGTCGACATTGCTGAGATAGCGGCCGAGACTTGTCTTCTTGCTTTCTCTCATATCCCTGATATTGATCTTTTTCCTGGTATGTTGGTTCAGTATCCTTTCCTTCGGCTTTACGATGACTGTGCTATGGTCTGACAGACCAAAGGGGGGAAAGCTCTCGGGCGTTGAGAAGTGATTGCCCATGTTTGTTAGTATTAGATCAAGCGTGGCCTGGCCTCTTGTGGGGAATTTAACAAGCTGCTTTAATTTAAAATGGTTCCGCAAATGGCAAATATCAAGACGGTTAAAATCGCCAGTGACAATAATTCCACAATTTGGATACAAAGATTCGGCTGATTTCAAACTGTCAAATAGATGGTTGAGCAAATTCTGACTGTCGGATTCTGCTGGACTGTTACGGCCTGGGTAGTAAACGACGGCCAGCAAGATGCAAGAAAAACCGCGGGGAGAGCGTGATGGATCTAATTTGAGCCAGATTATTTCATGGTCGTTACAGCAACGTAACTTCTCGGGAATTTCATATTTGACGTCCTCCTTGACATATACACAGACTCCTCCATGCTCGTGAGATGATCGGTCATTCCGTGTGATGTTATATCCTTCAATGTTTACAACTGTGTCGCTGATGTGGTCTTTCAGCCAGGTTTCTGTAATGCAGCAGACCTGAATTTTTTCCCTTAAGATTAGTTCTTCAACTTCACTCAGCTTAGGAACCAGTGACATAGTATTCGCTAACATAATGGTTGGTACGAAATGGCTGGTGTTTTGCTTTTGCATTTTGCCATTCTTTGTTGGAATTGTAATCAAATTATTGATGTTTCTTCCCGGTGCCCGTTGATAACTTCTTTGCAAGTGTCGTGTTTTCAGCGATTGATTGGATATAATTACTGGTATTCGGTGCTTTCCTGCTCTCTTTCCACGATATCTCAGAATTCCAGCAAGTTTTAACGAGCCTAGAGCATTAGAAGGTGGCGGTATTGAGATGGTGCGGCGAATATTGAGAAGATCTTGGCGTGAATAACAGAGACTCGTGCAGTCGTTAGTATGCAAATAGGAAAGACAAACTGAATTCCCGCGAGTTTTAAAACTTGGAGGATGATTTATGGTTCCATCTGTTTGCCAGTTTCGTTGATGTAAGGAAGAGCTTGGGCCCGGGTTGGTTGCAACATCCATATACATAGTTATTTCAATCGGAGGATCGTGTCCGGGAATGCTGAGGGAAACAAAGCCATGTTTTCTCCAAGCGCAAATTGCACGGCCTGTTCGATGGAAACCGGTTGAACCGCTACTGTTGACAGTCGTTAACACTTGAGATATTAGATAGGGATATTCGATTTGGTCTTGTAGTGGCAAGTCTTGCAGCTGATTAACTGGTAAAATACCAATATAAGATACTAAAAACAAGCACAAAAGTGCAGAACGAAAAAGATTCGTGGCTGCCATTTTGGCGCCTGCGCAGTATATTCCATATTGTGTATATATTCCATATTTGTGTAATTAAACAACTCATTTCTGTGAGTGATAGATTTCCACGTTTTTGTTTTTGTCGTTGTTGTTGTTTTTAGTCAATTAATCAAAATATTACTTTTAGAAATTATTATATAAAGACTAGCACCTTACTTTTCTTTAGTACCTACCTATTTTTGGTCATGAGTCTTAGCTATGTAATGAGAGCAGTTTATCGACCACGATTAGTGTAAATGTTGTTTGAATGTTACTTGATAAAGCTTTGTAAAATGAATCATTTTAGGTCCTGAGGAATGTAACTGCCCATCTAACAACGTCTTGTTGGCCATAATTGGGGTTCTTGCTTTCACAATCCTTCTTCTAATTATTTACATAATCTGGCTACATAAGAAAGGTAGGTAAAATATTCATAATCTATGATAGAGGGTTTGGCTGCAAGATTCATTTTTATACAAAAGCAAATTTTGACCTACATCCACATCATTTGTCTTTTTTTCCTTTCGTTCTTTTTCAGGCGCTCTTGGGAAACAGAGGTAAGAATTTGCTGCCACTTGGATTGTGTCGATGTAATGTGCTAGATATGGTTTCATCTTAACTCAAAATTCCACTTAAAGCTAATGAAATTCTCAGCTTTTTATAAATATTCATATGCTTTCTCAATTGTAGGACTTATGAAGATGAAAGAGGTGTTTACGACGTAAGTAACAGCTAAGACACTGAGGTCGTGTTAATGTGGCCAGAAACTATGTAATCTCTACTTTATATAAGAAATAAATGCTTGCAGAAAATGAGAAGGAAAGAAGGTGTAGTTCTACAAAAAAAAAAAGCATATTGCATTAGTGGAAGATACAATGAAATAGGGGAGGAAGTAAGACTCGATAAGGCCTCTGTCCTAGAATCATGTCCTTTACCAAGATACTCCATGGATTTTCCTTCGGTTGTCCCTGGTTCAACTGCGTGGCTTCACTTCATAGATCGCTAACTGGTCTGCACCCAGCTGATATTTGCTTTCTAAATAATTGTTTTTTCGCATTTTTGGCTGTCTTATTTTCTTGACGCCATATATTCAAGACGTAAGTCTAGCAGCTGAGTACAGCAAGAGTTTTTTTGTGCGTGTATTTGTCAAAAAATTGCAATACAAATCAACAATCTTCATGTTGCAGTTTGTAGCTTCGACAAATATGTTATGAACCTCGATCACTGGACATGATAGTTTCAAAAGCAGAGAACAAAATGTTAGTAATAATAAGGAAAAGAAATTATAAACCATTTGTAATATTTTGTCATGCAAGAATGTAAAGGCTTGTGTGATGAAAATGGGTAAACTGATTTTTATAACCATGTGAAACTTTTTACTGGGATTGATAACAGATTTTTGTATGAATACCTTAACGGTATGTTGGTTTAATAGAATGAAACAGGATTAGTAGATATCGAACCAAGTCAGCCCGATTCAAGGAAACTCACTCAGCCTCCTGCGGAATACATGGATCTCATAGAAGTCAACAAAGATAATAGAAAAGCACAAAGAACAGCTCCAGGTGCTGATTACGTGCCTCTTCATCCGTTAACACGCTGCTGGGAAGTTCCAAGACATCACGTGACCATAGAAAAATCATTGGTAAAGATGCTTTTGGTCAGGTTGCCAAGGGAACAGCTGTAGGGCTTAGAGGGAGTCCTGAAACGACCACAGTGGCTATTAAAATGCTGAAAAGTGAGCTTTTGTACCGTTAATTGAATGACAGTCGTGGCCTACAGTAATTCAGGAAATGTTACCGGGTTACCGTATAATTTTAGCTATTTTCCATTTCATATGTATGTAATTATTTCGGCATTTCGCATAATCTTCCCTTTAACCAAATTTTACTCCTTGTTTTTAATGCTCCAGCAAACGCTACTGAATCGGACAAGAGAGATTTGATGAAAGAACTTGACACAATGAAACAGCGGAAACCACATCCTTACGTCATTAAACTTCTGGGATGTGTCACAGAATCTGGTATGCTTTGGTTATGCGGGTCTAATTTTGTTGTACACATTTTGCTTATGATTAACTCTTTAACGCTTTCTTGTCGTTGATAATTTACTTTAATGGAAGAGTCACTGCTTCACAATGAAGCACAACAAACAACCATTGTATAAGATAATTTTATCTTTTTTTAGCCAACATGGACGCTCCTGGATTCACTGTTTCGAGCAGAAACGCGTTTTGTGACGGAATATTTGGTCTGTACCTTCGTATGAGACCGTTACATATTATTTCACCATCTCTTCCTAAAACTACATCTTGTTTTCGTGCGATTTCTTCGAAAGTATTGACCATGACTGGGCTATTCATTTATTTTATTTATTACTAATTTTTTTTAGAGAGTAATGTATAAATTAAACTGCTTAATTTCTTCAGAACATCTGTTGGTTTTGATTGAATATGTGCCTTTTGGGGATCTGCTGGGTTATCTGAGAAAGAGCCGTGGATTAAAAGACACTTATTACAAAGACCCGGATATCAAACCACAAACAAATCTGACGTCACAGCAGCTGATGAAGTTTGCTTGGCAAATTGCTGATGGAATGAGTTACTTGTCCTCAAAATCTGTAGGTCAATTAAAATAAAAACGCAAAAGACAAATAATTCTAAAGCCTTCTTATAGGGTTATCGTCATGTTGAACTTTGTCTTGCATAGAATGTAATGTCTTCACTTGATCACGCCCGGGAGATGCAAACGTATTCTTACCGTGTTGTTGACGCTATTTTTTTTAGGGCGGGAACCCTCACAATCTTGACGTCATCATCTAAGTTTTACTTTAATGTGCGAATGGCGATATTTGTGCATCGTTGCAAGTACACCCCATTAAAATAAAATATCTGAGTTTCTCTCGTGTACGCAAAGGCAGAGACGTGAATGAATAGGATCTTTTGAGACATTCAGCCTAAACTAAGTGTACAACAAATATCCATTTTAGTGACAAAAAAGAAAAGGAATTAAAACTTGAAATTTAAAAATTCGTCTTTGGTCGTTAAATTGCTACACTAGATAATCCTATTTAGATTAAAAACTTAAGATACGCGTTCTATGAAATAACTACGAATTGCGCGAGTAAAGTAGTTTGCTTCTCTTTGGAATATCAGGCAGTAATTATAATAAATTAATTTTCTGCCCTCTGGAAGAAAGAGAGATACGTACACCACATTATGTTGCTAAACATTTCTATTTTCCTTCTTGAACCATTTCATTTCAGTCCTTTTTCTTCTGCAATCGCTAATTTTTGCCGTTGCACCAATTCTTTCTTAGATCATTCACCGAGACCTTGCGGCCCGCAATGTGTTGGTTGGACAAAAGGAAACGTGTAAAGTGACAGACTTTGGAATGGCCAGAGAAGTGCAGCAGGAAAATATTTATGAACGAAAGACTAAGGTAATCAAGAAAGAGGGGAGGTGAGGGCGTTACTACATATCGTTCAGTTAAGTGATCTTTCACAATCATTGTTGTGGTAAAGCTGATATATTCCTGATTTCGATCATGAATTCCTTGGGACCCTAATGAAACTATCAGCCATGCGTATACGAGTACAACTTTAAATATCACTGTCTTTGACTAGTCGCTTCATATAATTTTTGAGCTGATTCACAAAGTGATATTTACAATCTTTAGGGCCGTCTTCCCGTGAAGTGGACAGCTTATGAGGCCTTGTTTTATGGTAAATATACCACCAAAAGTGACGTGTAAGTATACCCGATTACTACCTTTAGCAATTTTCCAACAAGTTTTATCAATTTTAATCAGGACATGACTTTTATGCTTTGTCAAAGAATACATATATTTTAGTTGTCGCATATAATGTTAATGTCTTCAGCCACCTAATTTATATTTGTTTGATTTGTCATTCTACAGATGGAGTTATGGAGTTTTGCTGTACGAGATTTTTACCGTAGGTAACATCGAATGGAAGTTTATGAGGATTTTCTGTATATTTACAATGTATCGTGTTCGGTTGGACAAACGTAATGAGCTTCCCCATGCAACCTCAAACTCCGTCACTGACACAGGTGGTGTTTCAATGAAGGTCTGTCTTTCGTCACATTCATATTTGGATTGTCTTATGGTTCTTCCAGGCGGTTCGCCTTACCCACGAATGGATGGAAGAAAAATTGCCAACGTACTTCAGGATGGATACAGGATGCCTAAACCACAACACGTCGATGAAAAATTGTAAGTTTTCTTTGTTAACTCGTTCTCCCTCGTCGTAAAGGGAAACGTTCTTTAAATCTTTAACTTATCATTTGAACAATACTAGGTATCAGATCATGATGAAATGCTGAAAGAATGACCCGGATGCAAGACCAACTTTCACTAAATTGAAAAATCAGCTTAAGGACATGGAAACCCCACACAAGGTCAGAATTTTGATCAATATGAAAGTTTCTTTTCACGAAGGACCGACTGGCTCAGGCTCAGCTAATTAGGGTTAAACAGCATTGAGCCTTAATAGCGTAATAATATGTACTCATCTCTGTAATTTTACGAAGTTTGGATCGCATCCTCTTGTTATGTCACTGAAGCTAGCACTCCACGAAAAACAGCAAAGAAGCTAGAATGTCTCAATGACAATTAACACTTCATGGTTATTTAAAAGATCATAGGATGATTGCAAAACTGCATTGAGACGCACAAAGAGTAGCAGACGACGACGCCATGAAATACTTTCTCCTTGAATTTGTTTTCAAGTTGGTGTGAAAAGCTGACTTCTTTTGAGGATAAGCGCTTTTCACGTAAGAGAAATACTTTTTTAATGTTGCTGACTATTATATTATTTTCCTTTGCAGAAGCTGATCAACATGACAATGTATGACAAGCAGCTGTATGCAAACGTCGAAGATTTAATGGTGTAGTTAGATACATGTCCCCGGTGTATGACACAACAAGTTTCAGGGATAATCATCTATTCCTTACACGCTTGCTTGCTAGCCATGTTGTGTTAATCAGTTAGGCTGGAACGTTGTAATACAATTGACTTTATATTCTTAAAGCTGAAACGAAGTTACAAGTTTACCAATAAAGTATACTCTCATTTTCTCTTTAACATATTAAGTACTTACATGTATGCCTCGACACAAGCATTTGAGTGCAGTTTATTTTCTGGCTCAATTCTGAAAGGCAGTACAGCGCGGAAAAAAATCCAATGATGAGATCTCGCACTGAAAGCTATAGTTGTGTTCAATTTCAATAAATTGCTAAAAAAAATTTTGCCGCAAAACCCGCTTGTTTGCAGAAAAGCTATAGTGCGCATAAATTGCTTTCCCTAAGACTGCCTTTACCTGCGATACCAACTCGAAATACTTTTACACTGAAAGTATTAGTAAAATTAACGGTATTCTAATCAAAATTATACTTGGCACATTATTTCTGCGAGAAAGTTTGTTGTTCGGCCTAATAGGCCGATAGTTTTCGCGTACTAGATACTATAACTCAACGAAACTGGGTTTCGGTACGTTGACCCATCTCCATCAGCGTACGGGGCGGGGGGGCTGAGGAGGCTGCAGCTCCCCCTGTCGGAAAAAAATTGGTATTATTCGGGCAAAACTGATGTACCGTTCGGGCAAAGACACATTAAAAAATATTTTATTATTTAATATCTTGATTTATTTGTTTTCATCCCGCAACTCGCCTAATCTTCTAACTGATCTCTGTACTACTTCACGGGATGGCTGTTATTACTCGGAGTTAGAACATTGAGTTCTGCCGAGGGACTGGGAGTGATCAAGACCGCGCTGGTACTGGAACTGCGTATGAGTTGAAGGCCATGTTGATTTATGTCAGTTTTCGAGTGCATGTGCGTGTAATCTGGTGTATTGAAGTATGTCTTTGTCGAAGATCATATCGATACCGTGTGAAATGTGAAAAATGCGAGAAAGAATTCGACTCCGACTATGTAGAAGCTCATTCCCGAATTGTTCACAGCGGCCGAAAAGTGAAATGTCTGCCAGTGGTAGAATCGTTACAGCTGAAATTAAGTGTTTCTTCTCTAGATGCAGTGCAGCAGTCGAATCTCCAGGTCAGACACAGGAGGCACCGCTTGTTGAATGCAGTCCAGAGAGACGACAATGCTACCGAAACAACCTGTTTTACCCGAATATCCGGGCACCAAGTTCAGCAGTGAGTCTTTCACTAGACGATTTTAGCCTGACTGATATAAAAAGTATCCATGGCTTAGTTACGATGTCGAAAAGGAAGTGTGTGTATGTTTTGCCTGCATAGAGTTTGGAAAGGATGCATCTTTTGTTTTCAAGAATTAGAAGAAGCCATCAAAGTTAACAAAACACAGCCAAAGTGAGAATCATGTAAGTTGCATGACTAGGTGGCTGCAGTTCAAAGCAATAGAAACAAAGAATAGCAGTGTTCTGCAGCAACTAAGCAATGCACATAAAGAGCAGGTCAAATTTAACAGGAAATATTTACAAGTGATAATCGAGTGCTCGATTTTCACTGCTATGCAAAATATTGCTGTTAGAGGCCATGAAGAAAGTCGAAACGATATCTGGGAAGTGTCAGATATAAACAGAGGAAACTTTCTCGAATTACTCCATTTACGGTGCAAAGACTTGCCATGGCTGCAGTCAAAACTCCAGACGCAGCCCCAGTTGAAGGAGATTTTTGCGTCTGTTTGGAAATATTCCCTAACGTTATTTTGTTTCTAGGAGCAAAATGATGCTCAAGCATACTGAGGAGAGGGGGTGAAATGGAGGGGGGTGGTCGTCTTAGCTTTGCAAAACGAATTCACCGAAATTTTTATATATATAATTTTTTTGAAGGCTTTTGCTGAGAGGGGATGAGTCTTATTCTAACATTTCTTCAAATGTCGAACTTTGTCAAATACAAGGTCTGGTAGGACTAAAAGAAACTACATTAACAACAACAAAACAAAACAAAAATTAAATCCCTTCTGGTTCGCTTTAACACCAGGCGATCAACTGGGAAGCCTTTGTTTTACCATAGTGTGTCTTGAACTAAACGGTACACACCGAAGATGCGTAGAAAGTGCTAAGAAAAAGATCTCCCGACTTCCGACCACATTTCGCGTAACAAAGAAGTCTCTTCTTATATTCATTCTGATATGCTGCTCTTGGTGTTACACACGGATGAAGTGAAAAATAATCTTTGAATACGTCTTTCTTAATCAAATATAACGAGAAGTATGTGGGTCACAGTGGCGGAAAGTGAAGAAAAAAAAACAAAGCAGAAAACAAACAAACAAGAACAATGATTTAATCTACTCACTTTGCCCTACTTCTCTGTGAGTCAACAATATTGAACACAAAAACTTTTGTGCACTGCTAATATAAATATTTTTAGCTTTAAAAGTGAATAGCTGAAATTCTTTTGAGTCGTGAATGAGCCGCTGGTCACTCACACGTCGAGGAGTCCACAAACTTCTTGAAAACTGCCATTTATCTATATATGAAAAAGCAGGTGAGGTTTGGGTCGGATCGCGTAATGCTTCGCTGTAACTATCGCGCAGCTCGTTTCGCTCAGTTTTCAGTACTAATTGAACCCCAAGAACAGGCTGATGGCTCTCGCACTTGATATGGGTTGGCTATACCAGTCTCGTATCCAACAAGAGCTAATAGAATTGTTGAGTTATGAAATTTTTCACTTTTTGATAATGCTTTCGGAGCTAACTAAGTTCGTTTTAACTCTCAGTTTTTCTTCAAATTAAAGCCACGAGAAGTCAATGTCACATCCGGTCGTCAAAACGGCAAAACTTAAATCACATAAGCAACGTTTTAGTTACGTCCGAGGCTAAATTAAAATTCAACGCTAAGCATTTTACACAGCCGGACGCGATGTAAAGTACTCTCCGATCCAAGAAACGTTAACGGGTATGACATACAATACTTACGAGACAAGCGTTTAGGTGTGTTTGAGTTCCAGCCTATCAACAAGCGAAAAATTAATTTTGTGCACAGTTTTTTAAAGTGTTTCGTTTCACTTGAACGGAGCAAAGCTTGTTACCGAGGATAGCTTTCGTTTCAATATCCCGACCTTAATTTCTCGCTCCGAGTATACGAGTTAACAAATACAATCCTACTGAGACAAACATTCGATTGAATCAATAAAACGTCATCCTTATCTTACAGTTTTGTGCGAACGGAGCTAGTGCGAACTCCTTAAGTTAAAATTCAAAGATGAGTACCATTCAGTAAGGTCATATTGTACTTTTTGACTTTTACCTTTTGATATCGATATAACGTTGACTAGCATTTGCTTTAGTTAATTTCTAATAAACAGAAAGAAGTAAGTGGTTCCAGCCAAAAGTAGATTCAGCTGAGCGACATTCGGATCATTCTCCATAGAAGGTTGTATATGAAGTGATGACCGGAGTTGAGAGAACCAAACAGAAGACTAGAAATGCAATATTATGATTTTGAAATTAAATAAGAATAGATAGTCAGTGAGCGCGTACCATTTTTATCCAGTTGGGACTCGAAACTACCACCTTCCGTTCAGTACTTCGAATACTCCAACGCTGAGATACAGAAGACTTGTGGCAAGGTAGCACGCTTAACTATGTCCTTGGATTTGATGTGATTCTTACGCGCAATGATGATCTAAATGAATATCGAAAATTCTAAGCGAGGTGATTTTAAAGAAGAAGGATGTTATTCAGTGAATGGCACAGGCAAACTCGGGAAAGAAAATGAAAAAAAACTTATGTGCTCCTGATAGGACTCGAATGTAGACCTTCCAATTTGTGCTAGAGGACGTTCTACCACTGATCTATAAGAGACTCGTGGCAAGTTAAGTCGCATAAATAGGCTCATGATGATAGACTTCTTGCTAGGATAGAAATGTTTCGCTTTTCCTTTTTAACTCGTGACTTGCGCGCATGCGCAAGAGCGAGTTATAGATACGATGTGGGGAATGGCATTCGCTCGCTCGCTCGCTCGCTCGATTGGTCGATTCCTGTAAACCTTTTTTTAGATTTTAGGCTTTTGAGTGCATTTGATAGTTTTTGGCGAGCAATAAACAGACGAAATGGCGACCTTTGTTGCTAAGAATAATGGTGGGGTGAAAAAGAAGCCAATGATAATCTTAAAATAGTTTTTTTTTTCATTTTAGTTTCAACAAGCGGCGCCAGCGACTGGCAGGAATGCAAGGATTCACACTGAAATAACAGAACAACCTTCGTCTTTCATAAAATTGTAATTTACAATCCTTGAACTAGAAAACAATCCGAAAATTCATTGAAAATATCACTTACTGCGAAGCGCTCGGAGTTTACAGATGTTCAAAACCTTTTTCTGTTATGGCTTGAGATTAAGGACAAAATTGATCATTACGTTTCGTCGCGTGTGTTTTTCTTGTGTGAAGCAACAAAAGATGCCGGCGACTGACGAAATTACAAGTTAACACGAAAATCAAATAACACCTAAACAAACAATTTTAGCCACCGATTTTCAGTGAATTTTTAAAGAATAATTTTCTTTTAAGTTTCAAGACAATTTGAAGATTCAACATACATACAACGTACTAAAATGCGAAAGTTACATACCACAAAATTGATAAATAGGCCTGAAATGAAATTCTATCTTGTTATTGATTATAATAAAGTTCGGATATAACGCGTGCTGTCATTGGTTGAAAGAGCGTGCTCTATGAGAGTATAGAGCATAGAGCTGAGCTAAAGCTGTCACGCCATCTGTCAAATTGTACTATGTTCGACCTTTTCCGGGACTTCTTTTTAGCTTTTTTTCCGATAACTGAAAGTGAAATTGAAGCGAGCCGGCAAGTAGCAACAGAAGAACCAAACAAAGGTTTGTAAACATACCAGGCGCCGTAATTTACGTGATTAAAACGTGAGCAGATGCGAAAATCCAAAAGGAAAAACAAAATAGACATTCCGAGTTTTAAAGATTTTCACGCTCAGTTAGATTGCAAGCTTACGTACGGTAATAAAAATCAAACACAGCTAACACTCGTATAGTATATAAAGTTCAGTGTTCAAAAACAAAACAGAACAAAACAGAAATGATGAAAAATATAACCAAACTGGCATAACTGTTAAAATTCATACTAATCATGACGGTGTCTGAGCGAATATGATCATGCTGAAGTTCATCGCGGCTCGCTCATCATGGCGATCTCCGGTCATCACGGTAAAGCAAGCCTCAGAAACTACATTGGCCGGCCTTCGAGTGAAAAAATATGAGCTTGCTCTGATATCCTTTCCGATGCGTTGAGTGGAAAGTCACATCAGTCACTGCAACCGAGTTTTGCGGCGCTGCCATCCCGAGCGATCTTCATGGTCCGGTGAATTCGGCTGTCGTTCATTCAAAAAACACTCGCCTTGAACAGTTTGTTTTCTACCTTGTCATGCGAAAAAACTCACGTGTTTTTATGAGCCATAATTCGGCTGAAGTTCACTGAACATTTCACTTCAAGATTCTGTATT